AAAAAAATTATAAAGTTCTAAATAAACAATTTTTACATGAACTTTTGTGATTACCAACAATTTTAACAATGTTACTGTTAATTGTTTTTTTTCCTTCAGAATCCATATTTTATTAATATAGATATCTTTAAAAAGCTGGAATTTCTTGGATAAAATCACACAAACACACCTTTTTATGCTTTTCCAGCACTAAATTTACACACAAGTTAGGGTTAATAATAATAAGGCTTTTCTATATTTCTAACTTTGTGTAAAATTAGTTCTGGAAAAGTATAAAAGATGTGATTTGTTTGTTTAGAGCAGTGGTTCCCAAAGTGGATGCTACTGCCTCCTGTGGGTGTGAGTAAATCTAGGGGAACAAAAAGAAGCAAGTGGGTAGCAGGGGACTGCTAGAGACAGGGTACTGAATGGTAACCATAGACAAGAGTTTGGGTCACTGACAATCTTTCCCTTTCTTTGTTAAAACAGCTAAGAAGAAACATTGGATTTAATGGTTTTCAGATGTGGAGAACAATGTACACTAAGGACACAAAGAGCGAGGTTCTTAGAAAAGTTTTTTAAGAATATTTCCAAGCCTTTCTCATATGAGGAAAAATGGGTTAGGGGGCATTGGATATAAGTTTATGGAATCAAGGGGGGTGACTCAAAGTTTGAGAATCACAGGTTTAGAGTTGAAAACTTCTTGTCTCTGATTCATTTTTTTCCTGGAAAGCATAACTTGTATTTAACAATCTGTTTTACATTATTTATAAAATAATTGAAGATATAACAGAAAATTGTTGGAATGTTTTTTTAGGTTTTGTTTATTAGCTTTTTATTGGTAACATATTCATTCAATAAAATGAATTAAAAAATAATTTGCCATCATTATTTATATCAAAGAAATTTTTTTTAAAAACATATAGTACTTCAAGTTTTTATCATTCATCTGAGTTCTTCTACAAAATCAATGATATCATTATTATTAAACTTGGAAGAAACTGCTTAATAAATATACTGCATTTTTTTAAATAAAAACTTTACGAGTTTTCTATTTTTCAAAAATAGGATAGTTTCCTGTCCTGAATGTATTCACAGGGACATTAGAACAATGTGCAAATATAGGCTGTTGGTTACCTTAATTATATAGAAACTTAGACATTAAATAATAGTAATTTTTATTTTGACTTTTTTAGAACTGTCTTTTTAAAATTTATTTAGATGAAAATGTTTTTAAAGAAAGTAATCATGATACAGTTTTTTTATAGTCATAGAATTGATAATAAAATTAAATCAGCACTTCTATTATTTTTCCCTGTATATTGGTACCAAATTAATACAAGTGAGTAACCAAAAAATAAAAAAATAAAGATGAGGAATCAGCATCTACAGATCTAAATTTTTAAATTATTAATTTTACTACTTTCTACTTTTTGATGGATTAGTTATCATGGCCTTGTTAATTGACTTTCTATTTAATATCTGTTAATTTTTTTCTTATTTTTGTGATTTGTATGTAGACACTTGAAAAAGGCTTAATGGCTGCAGTGTCTTTTTTTATAAAATAAAATAAATAGTGTCTGCTTATATCAGTTTAATAATTGAAAACAGTGCCTTCAAAACTTTTTTAGAACCATGGCACAATTTTTTAGAATTGTAAATTTTATAATCCACTTAGTTTTAATGAAGTAAAGGGGGTATTTTTCAATTTAATTGTTTTATTATTCTGATTTTTTTTAATATTAAGTAAAAAGAAGATATATTAAAGATAAAGGAAAAAAATCTCAAATATTTGTTAACCTAAATCTCAAGATAAATCTTCAATAATTCAGTTATGTTTAAATAAATAATATAACCATTACTTCTTAAGATTCCATAAAATATTTGAAAAATTAGAATGTTCATTCTGTAAAAAGGGTGAGAAGAAAGATTTAATTATTCACATATTTAAATCAAGCTTTTGATTGCTACCTTTAAAAAGAAAAACTGTTGTCAATGTTCTGTTAAGCTTTTAGAAAAGTTTCATTTTTAAAGAAAACAATTTTTTAAATATGTCCTTTACACATACCTTATGAAAAAGAAATCAGTTTTTTGTAAAGTTATGTTTAGTCAATATGTTAAAAAATTTCAAATTTTTTTTACATAATTTGATTACATAATTTGTCACATTTTAGCTCCTTGTCTTAAAAAATATATATGTCAATTGAATATAATTTTACAAAAAACTGATTTATTTCTCTTAATAAGGGATGTTTGTTTCTGGTTTCTGTTGTATTGATATCCATGTTGATGAAATCATTTTCAAGTGTAAGGACTTCAATAATTTAACCATTACCAAATCCAACTTCACAAATGTGTGAAGATGTTGAAAGTGAGCAACATCTTCAAAGTCTCAGTAGAAAAAGTTGGATATTTAATTCAATTGCCTCAATGTCCTTTTTTCTTATTAATATGTAAATTTTCGACTATAAATTCGTATCTTCTATTATCAGGACTTATTATACTGGTTTTACAGATAATATTACAAAGATTAACAGAAAACAATTTTTATTTTATTTCGTATATAGGTATACGAAATAAAATAAAAATTGTTTTCTGTTAATCTTTGTAATATTATCTGTAAAACCAGTATAATAAGTCCTGATAATAGAAGATACGAATTTATAGTCGAAAATTTACATATTAATAAAAAGTTGGATATATTTGTTGAACAGATTAATATCAACCATAAAAACCATAAAAAATTAATGTATTTCTGGCCATCTGCCAGAACTACATTAATTTTTTATGGTTGAAATTCTTTTTAACACTTTAATGAAGTGGTTTCAAACAGATTGATGAATTATTCATAATTCTTTGTCAATATTTTGGCATGATGTTGTTCTGAAATAGTTTTTATTTCTTCTTTTAGCATGTTCAAATGTGCAAAGATTGTGGAAATTATTCCAATTAGTTGTGATTTTAGATGCCATATAAGTCTGTGGAGATGATAATAGATTTTACGTCATTTTTGATAAGGGTTTCAAATGTTTAAAAATACACTAATGTCCAAAATTAAAGTAACAAACACAAATTGTAGGATATCTGGAAAAATACTTGGAGAATTTGGATGAAATTTGTACACAGATTTCTCATGACTTGATGTATCTGTTGTTCAGAATGAAAATGAAAAATTAACTTTAAGAGATATGCATATTTCACTAAGAGTACTCAAAATTTGGGATGGCAGATGTCACAAAGCTAATAAGGGAATGTGACTACCTCTTACAGTCATACAACACTCACAATGAGCCATCATGCTGTTTAAGAGGTTCTGAAAAAGGCTTTGGGAAATAAACTTCACTTCTTCACAAAAGCAGATTTTAGCTTAATAAGATTTTAGCTGCAGAATCATTGGTCTTGGGAGAGAACTGACATGCTGCAGTAGCCCTCTCCAGAGTATTTCAGACATGCTTAATCAGATTTAGATCAGCAGACATAGCTGGACACTTTTACAAATATCCTCTTCTTTTAGGAAATCTGTAATTAGCTGGGCTCTGTGGCCTAGCATTGTCATTCATAAAAAGTGAACTGAGAGCCAATGGCACCCTGAAAAAGCTTCACATACAACCTCACATCACAAGGATCTTACCTCTGTAGTGCTGAACAATCAAAGTGCTTCCCTTGAAATTGTGCAGAGGCATGTGTGGGTCCATTCAACATGTCTTCCCATATGAGGTCACCACTTTCACCAAAGAAGTTGGAGAGTTGATAGTCTCTCCAGATGTTAATGCATCAAGAATCAGTTTTCAAACTTGATACAATTTATCAGAAAACATAAAAAGTGTCCACTGGTGACCAATGGTGTCCCCCCATCAGCCTTTCCCACAGGAGAGCTTTTTTTTCCTGGTGCCACCAACATCATCTCTGAATATAGAACCAGTGTTCTGTATTCAGAGATGATGTTGGTGGCACCAGGAAAAAAAGCTCTCCTGTGGGAAAGGCTGATGGGGGGACACCATTGGTCATCTAGCATAAAGGGCCCTTCTGTGATAGCTGTCTATACAAAGTTTGTTTTGATACTGATGTTCTAGTGTCAGCAGCAAGCTTGAGATCTGTCTTGCTGTATTATCTCTCTATGGGCCAAGTAATTAAAGCCAGTTGATATTTTTTGAGGGGGTCAGTGATCTTCATTGACCTTGGTTTTCTCTTCTGGTGATTGTTTGTCTCTTGGAATTGTTTTTACGGCATATACACCATTTTTCTGGATACTTGTAGCCATCTGGCCACCTGCTTGGTGCTTAGCCTGCTGAAAGTCTACTGACTTCCCTCCATCTTGATGTGTCATCTAAATAGTGATTCAAATTTTGATCAAATGACATTGTTATTACCTGACCATAATAACTACTCAAAAGCAGTTGAATCACATGGAATACCTTCTTTTCCCTTTCCTTCATAATTTTTACATAATTTCATATTGACTGGAACTGAAGTTTTCAGTTCTAATCAATATGATAATTCAGTTTGTTATGCAAAATTTATATATTCAGGGGTCATGCTGCATAGCCCAAAATTTCCACTTGGCAATATTTTTAGTAAACTGGTGATAAAAATCTAGTCTACTTATTTTAACATTCAGTGTGAAATTGAATCACAAAGCATGCTTTAGGAAAAACAACAGAATGTTGATCTCCCATGCACCTCATACCTACTGATATCATAATGCCAAGTGGCAAGTTTGGAAGTTTGGGTGGGAAAGCAGAAAGTGACATTGAGAACCAAAGGCAGTTTTTGTGAAAACTACCAGATTGGGGATGTTTATTGACTGACAGAAAACTTGAGGAATTTTTTGGGGCAACATTTTTTTACTTTGATCTTTTTTCAGTAGACTAAAATATAAAAAAATTTTATGATAGAATATGTGAATTACTGTTTAAGCATTGTAATCAAGTATATCATTCAATATGTTCATTAAAAAAAAATTATTCAGATATGATTCCTATTTCTAAGTGACAGCTTAACATGTTACTTTTGCTTTCCAGATTACAAACTGATAAGGCTACCAGAATCTGCAGTAATTAGTAAGTGAAACTGGTGGTGATAAATAAATTGAAAAAGTATAAAATTTGTGAAATGGTGCGTGTTTTTTCCCTCCCTCTAGAACAGCTTCTGTATGTTTTTCCCCCCCTTCAGAATTTTGCTGTTATTGTGCTTTATTATTGTGCTTAAATATGTTTGTTACCTTAATTTTGGATATCAGTGTAGTTATTCTTATGATCTTTAATGTTCTTTTTCCATAACACAAGTTTTTTGATGAAACTAAATTTTGTTTTGAACTGCAAATATGTTGGCTCTTTCTGCTCTTTGTAAGAACAAATTCAGTTTTCTTACTTTTAAAATGTGTCTGCCAAATACATGAGTTTCAGAACAAGCTCTTCAATAATCAACAATGTTGTGTAATTGCTTTTCTTATAGAGAAATATTGCAATGCCATCAGACTTATTAGCACTTTCCCCTTTAAAATCAATGTCTTAGTGTGCAGAAATGATTTTTGGATACTCTTCATCTCCTTGCATATCTTTTCAATTAAGCACAATTTTGACAGTGTTGACTTGATGAAGTTCATTATTTTTATGGATGTATTCTTAATGCTTTTCAAATTATTGTAGTTTTTAATGATGATGATTGCTATGAAAGTTGTAGTGACAGTTTAACAGTCTTAACAGCTTAAGTCCATGTGATCTGTACCTATCCTGTTGCATTTCATCCAGTTCAGATCTTTTATATTTGTATAAATATTTAGTCTCGAAAATTCTTTTTTGTACAGTATTGTACATCAAAGATGATAAAACCTCTAAATATTGTATTTGAAGGGACCAAAAAAAAAAAAAAATACAAAGTTTGTGAGTTATGGAGAATTCTATGTATGATGACCAAAATCAAGAAACTTTTTTTTTCATGAAAAATTGAAAAGTTTTTATTCAGATGAAAAGTTTAAAGCAGTAGAATAAGAGATGTAATTTTTCAATAAATTTAATTCTGTGATATTTGAATTGTTATTAAAACAATATCTATGTCTATAAAAATAATTAAATAATATCACACATTTAGGTATATCACAAAATTATCTTGTTACACTTCACTGAATTTATTCATAAATCAAATTTTGCATAATTCATTATGGAACAAGCAGAAGCAACAAACCTTGTTCATCAATGTACTCTTCAGTTACAATGAGAGAAGTTTATTTGCATCATATTTTTAGTTTGGTTTGTTGCAACTTTTTGGATTGAAATTTGACAGAATGTATTATGCAAAATTCATCCTTTGACCACTGAGATATTTCATTAATTCTTCAAGTAGCCTTATTATTGGAGAGTGAAATTGTTTTGATTTCTTTTGAGCATTTATCAAGAAACATACGTCCAACCTCGCCTTTTATTTTTGGGAGCATTAAAGACTTGCCAATTGTTGGCAGTTTAACAAGTTCACAATTTCACAATTTGTGCAAACTAGTTAGCTACAAAGAGTAGGTAGTTGTTTTTTTATTGATGTTGGTGAAATGCAAGAGTTTTTGTTTGAATGTTTCATTTTTTTCAGTTTTCTTTTCAAAAATTTAATTTCAGTGGGTGATCGGTTAACAAACATAATCTGTTCCAAGACTTTGTTTGCTATCCAAATTGCATGTTAACCAATTATCGATTTATCATAGGTTTTTGTGGAATTTGATTAATTCGTTCTGGAAACTCCAAAAAATAAAAAATATATATACTTTCTCACTACTTTTATTTATATGTAATGGTAAAAATACATATATACACAGTCTTGCATTTTTATTAGTCATGTTTTTTCTGTTTTTGGGGTTAAAGAATCTGTCTAATGTTGATTGCTTTTCTCTCTTCTTCAGGATTTTTCAGAAGTAATAGCGTTGTAATTGTAGAGATCCTATTAACCTCAACCTGGTTTGGGTGCCATTCTAAGACCATTGTTCTGACATTCTCCCACTTCTTCAAAAGATGTTTAATAGCAGATATCAACATTAATCTCTTTTTCAGAAGAAAATATATCTCACCTAGTATTTTGGTGTTCTTCTCTCATCAGATCTGTTTCAGGTTCTATTGTGAGCTCTTCAATGCTCTTTATTTCTCAGATGTGATTTTTGTTACTCCTTTAGCTGCTTGAGTCTTCTTGATTATACTATATCTTTCTTAGATTGAACTGTGGCCTACTGTAGATCTGTTCAAGCCATACTGCCCAGCAACATCAGACATCTGCCCACTCTCTACCTTTGCTATTATATTTTCACCTNTCCAATGTCGATTGCTTTTCTGTCTTCTTCAGGATTTTTCAGAAGTAATAGCATTGTAATTGTAGAGATCCTATTAACCTCAACCTGGTTTGGGTGCCATTCTAAGACCATTGTTCTGACATCCTCCCACTTCTTCAAAAGATGTTTAATAGCAGATATCAACATTAATCTCTTTTTCAGAAGAAAATATATCTCACCTAGTTTTTTGATGTTCTTCTGTTGTCATATCTGTTTCAGGTTCTATTGTGAGCTCTTCAATGCTCTTTATTTCTCACATGTGATTTTTGTTACTACTTTAGCTGCTTGAGTCTTCTTGGTTATACTATATCTTTCTTAGATAAGATTGAACTGTGGCCTATTGTAGATCTGTTCAAGCCATACTGCCCAGCAACATCAGACATCTGCCCACTCTCTATCTTTGCTATTATGCTGCTCTCACCTTTCAAAAATAAATACCCACGCAAAACTTAACAAGTGCCCGCCTGACAGTCTTGCGAATACTATAAAAAAATTGAGCAAAATCAGTGTAGATTGCAGCTGCTTCATGCCTGCGTAGCTTACATAGTAAAAATGGCTCATAGCCTTGAGAAAGAAGGCAGGGTTTTGGAGCGTGACCGAGTGTATGCTAGCTCCCACTTCCTGTAGTTTGTGGTGGCTCTAACAGTGAATGAGATTGGAGAAACACTAACATTTTTGACTTGTTAATGAGCTGTCGTCAGGTGTTGTCAGGCAAAAGTGGAATGCCAGTAATTTTTGACTCAGTTAACAGATCAACAGGTATTTTGCCAAACTAACCCATTGTTAAAGTATATTGCTACTTTATTGAATTAACTATAGAGGTTATGCTAAAATTAAAAAAAACTCCAAAAAACCAAATGTATTTACTAAAATTCATACAAAAAAAGCCTTAAATCCAGTAAAATTAGAATGTTAACAGAACTAAATTATTTATTTATTCTCATTTTCTATGTTCAGTTTAATATATTTCCTCCAGCGCATGCGACTCGCAATGTTAATTTGTAATTTTCAACGTTTTTAATTTCAAATGTTTCCTGTTCTATTTATTATATTCCATTCTGATGTTGACTATTGTCCTGTACATAAATGAAAATGTTTGTTCCATTATTAAACATTCTATTTTTACTGGATTTAAGGTTTTTTGGTATTAATTATAACTACACTGGCTATTAAACTTTGATAAACTCAGAGACAGAAATAAATAATGCAAGTAACACTAATGCTTTACTTCACTGGCTAACTAATTTGCTATTAATTAACACAATTTACAAGATAGTTTTTGATGATTGCTTTGAACTCTGTTGTGCAAAGAGAAGTAATCCTGTTTAACCTTTGTAGAGAGGGTTAGTCAGATATGGCACTATCATGATGGTAGTGGAGAATAAATGTGGAAAATTTTTTAAGAATTTTTCCACACATTTTTCTTGTTTTTGTTTCGGGGGAAAAAATTTTTAAACAGTTACATCTAGTAAAGAAAAAAATCTTTCTTTATTGTTACATAATTCTTTTTTATATGAATTTTTTTTTGTGGTAATTTTTGGCTAAAATTTTTTTGTGGATATTGACATCGTTCTCCAGTGCCACGTGATTCGGGTATATTCGTTGATCACTGCAGAGTGGTTAAATATAATGGTGGAAACTTCAATCAATGAAAACATCTAGAAATGGAATTGTTTAATATGTTCTTGAGTTAGGTATGTACATTTCTAGACTTCAAAAATTTTTTTTTGTGACTCATTAAAAAATAGCTTACAACCCAATTTTTGGAAAAGTGAATAATAAAAAGCAAAAAAAAAATTATTTCTCTTCTTTTGGTATTAATATATTCAACTTGACTTGAATATAAAATGCAAAAAAAATTTTATGTTTGCAAGTATTTTTTATGAAAATTCAGAATATTTTCTTCAGGCAAAGAAGATATAATAGTACAATGTTCAATGTTAACTCGGGATATTCTTCAATATTTTAATTTTTGAAGTTAGACTATTTACAAAAACACATTAATATTTTTGAGTCTATCATTAAATCCTTTTCACACAACCACAGAAGTCACAGTTATATTGGTTAGAAGATAAAACTTCTTAAAAGACAATAATAAAAGATAAAAATTCACAATGTTTAAAAATGATCAAACTCCAGCCTTTTATTGTAGGATCTGACATTTTTTACATTAAAAACTTAAGAATCTTCTCACCAACCATCAAGTCCTTTTCCAAATTTCATAACTGGTTCATCCCTCTAGTGGTAGTTAAGAGTAAATCATTTTCATTTGCATAAATTTACAATGTTCAATGGTAACTCAGGATATTCTTCAATATTTTAATTTTGCCTTTTAAAGAAGTTTTATTTTTTAACCAATATAACTGTGCCTTCTGTGGTTGTGTGAAAAGGATTTAATGATAGACTCGAAAATATTAATATGTTTTTGTAAATAGTCTAACTTCAAAATATTAAAGATATAATAGTTTTTTAGATTTTAGAACATATTTAGGCAATTACTTACATGTGATCATAAGCATCATATATCTTTGTAATTTATCAAGTTGCTGTTAATTTTATATTTATTAATCTTTTTGTATTCTGCTATTTTGAATTTAAGTTGCTCTTAATATATTATTATTATTTTGGATTTAAATTTATTCCATAACATACAATATTAATGTCTTTACTGATGATCGAGAATAGCAATGAGCAGCATATGATCCATGGGCCAACTCTGGCCCCCAATCATATGTAATATGGCCCATGGATATT